AAGGGACAGAGGAACAAAGCAGAAGAGTCAGCCGTATATTGTCCTTGAATGTTCTGCGTGACAGATTGACACGGCAAGATTCTTTGGAGAAGACAGGCTCTCTAAACCACACCATCTAATGGGATCCAAGGGCGCATATATCTGTAGGTCGGTAGGTCTGTAGTTCGATAGGCGGTTTCTCCAAAAAGACGGCTCACCATATATTCTCAACTATCGGCCAGTCCTCGGACTACGCAGTTACTGATAATGCATATTTCCCCCAGAGGACAGCAGTTCGTCCACACGGTAGATAAAGGGTCCATCGCCTATGGCCGAACAACGAACATAATCGCCGATTGGGCCGGGTTCACTGATTCCAGCTTTGTCAGTGTAACAGACCCACCTGGGGCTAGAAGATTCTCCTCCTCGGAACATCGCAGATGTGTGGCCAAGATATGAAGATTTCCACGCACCAAATTTAAGAACGACGTAACGCGCTTTAAAACTGCCTAATATCTTCAGACAGTCCCTTTTATACCTTCAACGGCCCTGAGCGAGGGCTAAATCGCGCGCGTTCCGTCTAATTATGCGATTTGCTTCCGGTCCTCACTTTCAACCAATCGGTCCGCTGAGTACCCGAAAAGAGCCGGCCTCTTATCGTCGCTTACATTCAAGCCGTCGAATTACCTCGGCCTTTCCACCGAGCGGCCCAACAAAACAAGACGGCGTTTTACGGTTTGTTACACCAGAATAGCCTTTGCGAATACCCGGTACACCACAGAGACGATTGTAATTAGCCGGAAGCTGGACGGTGGTGTCAGGTCTTCGAAAGACTTTGGCAGTAATATCGTCTGACACCGCTTGAAGTTCGCGGCATCGCCGAATGTAGCAACTATAGGTTGAAAATAGCGCTGAGTGCTTTATGTTGCAGACATCAGTCACTTTGATTCAACCTGGGCTGCCTGCTTTCCGGCATTTCATCTGTGCCACAGCAGACGTAATTTCATCTTGCAGTGTTAGCAGGCCGATGTCCGAAATTTCGCCATTTTTCATATCGGTCACCTCGTCCGCGTCATGTGGGGAGGTTCTTGTAAACAGGCAAAGGAAGTATGACTCCTCCTTTTCATTGGTGGCCTGTTGCGTTTGGTCGAGATTACTGGCTAGGACAACATTCAACAACTTTTCCTATCTCGTTTATACAGCTGCTGGTAGGTTTTGAATAGATTACAGCACGGAATCTTTGGGTAGTTTTGGGTAGTTCAGAAAGAGCTCACACTTACCCGCTGGTCTTGGGTGGCCATTCTGTTTCTTCAGGGCCGGTTTCAGTTCATTACGCAGGAATACAATCGAGTGGTTTAGGCTGTTATCTCTGATATCGTTAGAGATTACCTCAAAGCATTCCTTGTTCCTGTCGTTCAGGAGATGAATGCTTTGTAAGGCCATTTGGTTCGCCTCTCTAGGTGGTGTATTTACCCTGGTTGGTACATTCAGTGCTTCACTTCCCATCGCTAATGGTAACATGAGCTGTGCCAAATACTCCCATGCCATAGCTCTAGTTTCCCTGGTTTCATTTTCCACTGATCATT